AGTAGCTTCTGCATAATAGTTGTTTCTCTTGTCTGTATTTTGTGCTTTTCTTGCATTACCTTTTTTCTTTTAATGTATTAGACCCATATTAGGTCTGCATTCTTTCTGCAAGGAGTTAATTCCTACATTTTATCTACTTGAAATTGATAAAAATTTTGTACATATAGTTGCACTAAGAGTATGGCTCAGAGATTTTCTTATGTCCACTCTAGGTTGAGAGACATAACTTCATAGCTGGGAACAGATTTCCTGAATCATCCAGCTATTCCCGGTGAAAAGTTATCACCTTTTCACATCTTATATTCTGAAATTGTGACTTATAGCTTATGGTTCGAGTAAAAGGTGCCTAAGAATCAGAATATCTTTACTCCCTTGTTTTACAAGGTTATGGTAGATGTGTCTTAAATTTCCTTTTTATTTATTGGTGTTTATTATTCAGACATAATAGGAAGAAGGTATATGAAATGAACATGATATAGAAATCATATCTGGGTAAAATGGGATAGTGGGTCAGTTTTTGGAGTTCGTTTTGTTTCTTAATGGTAAATCTCGCATAGCTTTTAACTTAAGCACAAGTGCCGGAAAGGTATGGGTAGTGACATATGCGAACTTGCGTTAATTGATTGGAACTAGTGGCTTAGAACGTAATTAACGTGCTTATATTATGATAACTTCCCAATTAATTGATGTACTCTCTATGTCATTCGCAAGTCTATCAATTAAGCTTGTTTAAGCAGATTATTCAGCAGGCGTCAAGCGTAATTTGACTTATCAAGCATGTATCTAAGACTACTGCTTCAACCATTAATCGGTACTATCTACAACTAGGACTCAGTCCCAAACAAGTTCGGGTCGGTGATATGAGTCCTCGTTTCTTTCTTAAAGCTCAACTCAATCATCATTACCAAATAAAATACCAGTGAAAATAAGAAACTAAGATAAATATATAACTAATGACCCAGCAGATTTGAGATTACACCTATATTCTTCTTACCTGACTCCAGAAATTGTTGGAAGGTTGCATCTTATTGTACCAATAACTAATGAGCTAGCAGAGACACGGTCATGAATAACCAGTGCGCTAGGCAAGCAGTAGGGAAACACTTCTGAACAAACTAAGAAACTGAATCAAGTCTTGGTATTAGCTTGTAATAATAGACTTATAGACTAGTCTTAGCAGAAATGCAAGTGTAAAAGAAAAGAGTTGCACACTTTTGGTCATTGTGAAATAGGTTCAAATGTGCCACTTCAAATACATTGTAGGGCTAAAAGTGCTACTACGGTATCACAGGGTAGGGAGACCAAATGCAAATGATACAGTCTTGAGCATAACTTTTACTCCAACTGAAGCTAAGTTTGACTAAGATTTTTTATGCAGGCTCAGTTTAGAAGTTTCATGTCCGCACCCACATTTGATCTTAATGTCCTTTCACTCTATTTCTGTAAAAGTAGATTATTATTGGAAGGGGCCATATGAAGATGGACGTGTACCACAATTCCCAACCAGAGTGCTAGAACTAAGCACACAAAGAGTTGACACAATATGCTGCATAGTAGAAGTATGATGTTTGCTAACTAAACTGAAGCAAATCAGGAATAGTTCTGAATATGCAGTTTCCCTAATCAGGAGTTACTTTTCTGGATGTCATAGTGAAGTTAAACATTGGTGAAGGAATCACCAACTAACAAAAGTTAATTTGCAATAGTGGTCTGCTGCAGGTTTGGTTTGGATGTTCTTTCCCTAATGCTTAATAATACCAGTCCAAAAACACTGAAGATATGCTCTTTCTCTAGAATATTCTTTTAGAGTAAAAATGTCAGGAACCTTGAACTTCTTTTTAAGGTTTCTCCTTCCAACAAAACGAAAGATTTATATTGACCAATAAATGATGGAACAGATGCTCGTACCATGGAAAGTCATGTTTTTGTACTAGATATAAAAATCAAGCTATTTAATCTTAGGTGTTAAAATTTAAAGTAAAAGCATATCAACTAACAAAGGTTAAGTGATAAATATGTATACGAAAAGTATATCTTGCATTTATTGATTAGATATAAAGCCAAGTGTGGATAGATTTTTACCCATATTCAAGCAATAACTAAACAACTTCTTGATGATGATAATTACTATGAAGATGATAACTATGAGACTAATGGAGAAAAATGTGAGTATAAAGACACTTATGCTTCTAATAATGAAGATGGTGATGCTTCAAGGTATGATTCTTCTACATACTACTCTTGTGATAAAGATAATAATGAAAAAAGTGATTATGAGCTTGATGATGAAACTACTGGGAATATTCTTAGTTATTTTTTTCTTTTAACAAAGACAAGCTCAGTGCGAACTACAAGAGTGAGGGGTGGGGTAGGGGGGAGGCTCTTGAGGTACCCAAACTCACCTAAAGACAAGACAAAATGACTTCGGAAAATTTCACTCGAAAAGATTATTCTGGAGAATCAATTGTCTAAGGTGTCACCCTCTTTCTCTAGAATATTCTTTTAGAATGAAAATCTCAGAAACGTTGAACTTCTTTTTGAAGTTTCTCCATTTGACAGAATGAAAGATATATATTTATAGTTACCAATTCAAAAAAAAAAAAGATAGTATATATTTACCAATAAGTTATGGATCATATTCATATATTAATGAACAATTAAATTGACATGATTAGACAATACCAATTGCTTGATAAGTTAAAACTCTAGTTGGCTAACGCCTTGCTGAATAAAAGAAGGTAGCCCGGTGCACTAAGCTCCGGCTATGTGCGGGGTCCAAGCAGGGGTCGGACCACAAGGGTCTATTATACGCAACATTGCCCTGCATTTCTGCAAGAGACTGATTCCACAACTCGAACCCGTGACCTCCTGGTCACATGGCAACAACTTTACCAGTTACGCAAAAGCTCTCATTCAACGCCTTGCTGGATGATTTGCTAAATTAATGAATTTAAAATGCTTAAAGACGGAATAGTAATTTATCGTGTGCCATAAAACAATCACAGTAAATACATACTAAGCTTATAGTTCCGCTCAATTAAAGTACATTTTTCTTTGAGGTATTTGTCATAAACTGTATCTTTACAGGACGTGCTTTAGTGAAGGAGCACGTGGAATTATTAGCTTATGTACTTACCGTGGTTGTTTTATGGCACACAGTTAAATGACATTCTGTATTTAAGCATTTTTTAAGTCTATTAAGTAAGACTGTTTAAGCAACTCATTCAACAACAGGAGTTTTAATTATCAAGCATTGGTAGAAACCTTAAAAAGTAGTTCAAGGTTTCTAAGATTTTCCCTCTAAAAGAATATTCTAGAGAAAGTGCAGGTGAGTGACACCTTAAAAAAAATGATTCTCTAGAATATTATTTTAGAGTGAAATTTTCCCAAGCCATTCGGTCTTATATCTCTAAGCAACTTTGGGTAACTCAAGAGTCCTCCCATCTTTGCAATTTTCATCGAGCTTATCTCCGTTAAATGAAAAAAATAAAATAAGAAAACAAACAAGAATATTCTGTAATAATCTCCTAATCATCATTATCATGCTCATCATCAATTTCTTAACTATTACGTTGACCACAAGAAGAGTATATAGAAGGATCGCACCTTAAAACATCACCATCTTCGGTCATTGTTAGAAGCATAAGAGTTGTCATGCTCACATTCTTCTCCACAAGCCCCATAGCCATCATCTCCATACTAGTTGTCATCATCAAGAAATTGAGTACTTATCACTTGTATACGGATAAAAACTTATCCCACACTTGGTGTGCATCTAATCAATAAAATGCAAGACGTATTCTTCATATACACATTTATCACTTAACCATTGTTAAGTCATAGTTAAGTGATATGGTGCTAAGATTAAATAGCTTGGCTAGGTGTAAACACCTTCACGACCCCACTTATGGGATTTTACTGGGTTGTTGTTGTTGTTGTAGGTGTAAACACCTAGTACAAAACATGTCTCTCCATGAGCTTTCTTAACCATGACTCTTAAGATAGTTCAACACTCGGACATGTAGTAAAATCATCAAACTTAGATGTGGGTATGAGACGGTACAATAATATATTTAACACTTTCTAGCTTTTAGCTTGGGCAGCAAACAGCAACTTCATCGCAAAGTTTATTTCATTTAGCTATAGAATACTGGTTGAACAGAGCAGAGCTGTTCAATTACAATTGGGAATTGCAAGATGAATCACTGTTATTTCTGTCCACTTCAACGAAAATTTGACTGAGAATGGCCTCCAGATTTGAGATTACACCTATAATTCTTCTTACAAGACTTCAGAAAGTTTTCAAAGGTTACATTTTATTGTACCAATATCTAATGAGCTAGCAAAGACCATAACCACTTACCTAAGCAAGCAGTATGGAAACGCTTCAGAACAAACTAAGAAACTCAATCAAGTCTTGATATTAGCTTGTGAGAATAGACTAGTCTTACCAGAATCCAAGTGTAAAGGGATCATTTAAACTTCATTTTATGGTCCAATTGATCTTAACGTTGAATTAATATTTAAATCGAGATATTAGGCACAACAAAAGTGACTCATCACCTCATATGCATCCAAAAGAAAAGAGTTCTGCGCTTTTGGTCCTTGTGAAATAGGATAAAATGTGCCACTTCAAGTACATTCAGGGCTAAAAGTGTTTCTAGGGTATCACAAGTTAGGGGGACCAAATGCAATATCTCCTTGTTGATACAGTCTCGAGCATAACTTTAACTCACAATTGAAGCTAACTTTGACTAGGATTCTATTTACACACTCAGTTTAAAAGTTTCATGTCCACATTAATTGGGTCATCATATTTGATCTCAAAGTCCCGCCACTCTATTGTATAGAAGTAATTGTGAAAATCGGCCATATGAAAATGGATCTGTACCACAATTCCCAATCACATTGCTAGAATGTTAGGCACACAAAGAGCATAATAACTTGGAGACATTATGCTATAAGTAAAGTATGACATTCGCTAACTTTTCTGAAGCAAATCAGGAATAATTCTTAAATTTCATTTCTTTATCAGGAGTTACTTTCCTCAATGTGCCATTTTGTTACAATGATGAATTTAAACTTTGGTGTATAAATCTCCAAATAACAGAAGTAGACAACTTTCAAATGTATGCTGCTGCAGATTTGGTTTAGATGTGATGTTCTAATGCTTAGTACTACCCCTCTAAGAATACCGGAGACTCACATTCTATACGAATTGGACAAACCTTCATCATTAACAGACTTTTTGCTCGCATTGATTGTGTAAAGCCAACTAGAATACAAACTATTAAAAGACAGCTGAACTGGATCGAGAAAATTATGATACATTCTATCTAATATCAGCTAAAGAAATATGCTACTTTGACTGCATAATTGAATACCATAACAATGCTTATATATTTTTTCCTCCTGCATTTGCATTGCCAAAAGTTATATACCTGTATTTATATCTGATAACAAGTGTCATTCCAGTGGTGGACTTTCCTCGCCGAACCATCTTGGGGGATCAAAGCCAGATCCTCCTGTCATATTTGAAAATACACGATGAGCGACATACTAAGATATCATTCCAAGACTTTATCAACAAAACAAATAGTATCTCACTCAAAGCTAAGAATAGCTCCTGTAAAGATTCAGAGTGAGCTCAGAAATTTAAGCCGGCGATGAAACATCATTTTACCTAGAGGGTTACAGCGACAAAGACGCCACACTGTCAAGACTGTCCCTTTAACAACTCCATATTTCTTGTAAGCTATCATGGAGTATTCACTGCATGTTGGTACATAGCGACAACTTTTTGGCATTATTGGCGAGATTTCCCCTGCTTAATAGTCAATGGTTACACATGTCCTCCTGGTCTTGATAATATAAACGTAAGAACAACAAAATAGCTCAAAAGAATCAGGAGAACTAGAATGTCAAATTTTAGCTTAAGCGTACCAACAACTTACTTTTATAGAACTTGAGCATTGTCAATGCAGCTTTGACTCCTAAATTATCTTCTTCATCATCTGAATCCAAAAGGCAAGCACCAAATTTAACCATGGTTATATTAAGGTAAACAAACAACTTAATTTAAAGTAAATTTATAAAATATAGGCATTTAACTTTATGAATGGCCGTTAACTTTTTTTTATAGCACAAAAGACATCAAATTATTTTTTGTAATCATAAGCCAGTCAACTTCACCAAAGTATGAAAGTCAGTAAACTATTTTTTGTAATAAAAAAATCACTTAGCTTTACCTAAGTATCAAATAAAGTCACTAGGAGGAAACAAAAGAGACATTTTTGGTGATTCTTAGACAAAGTTGAGTGACTTCTGAGTTAGATATAATTATTTAGCGACTTTTTATTCGGGCAAAGATGGTGATTTTCGTCAGAAAAATAGTTTAGTTGCTCTAGTGCAATAAAATAAAAAGTTGAATGAAACTAGCATTAATGGTTGGGTACAGCCGGAAACCTTGAGAATTGCTTTCGCCGGAATCCGACCCACTAACGATACATAGGGCCCGACTCTGCCGCCTATATTTCTACAAGAAAAAGAGGGGAAAGTCTACATTATGATTAATTGAAAATGGAGAAAGTAAGAATTGGAGTTGTGAAAAGGAAGGTACTTTTCTCAAAACAAAGAGAAGATTTGATTGCTGCTTCCTGTAAGATGACAAACTGGAGATGGAATCTGTTGGAGAAAAGGGTTTGTTGCTGGCTAGGGACAAAGCTAGCGCCATTGATGAAGAGCTTTGAAGGCATTTGGTGGCAGTGGAATTTGTGGTGAGAACGGAATGGCTATAATTTGTTTGTTAAGTACTCCTTTAATTTAGATTAGATTAGAAAGTTTTAAAATATATAGACCGAGATGATGCTATAATATTTCTTCTTATAATTACATCATCAATCAGATCTTTTGAAAGATGTGTATCATTAATCTTTTATAAACATTGAAATATATAATCTTGAAAATTAGGTTGATTCCTTAATAAGTGTGAGATGATAATGTATAAATTTTTAAATGAACTATAAAAAGCAGCCCAATATACTAAATTTAGCTCCTTCTATACGTGGGGCTATATGCAGTATCCGTGGAAGGAGTGACCACAAGGATGTATCTCAGGTCATAACTTCAAGGGACTAGACTCCACTGGCTCTAATGCAAAACATGAAAATCTTTTCATAAAAAAATCAATTTATTAGACAAAAATTCTAAACTAAGCTAGGTTTGGATATAGATTTGGTTGAAACTTAAAAAAAAATCTTGTTTGAAAAATAGTTTTTGAAAGTTGAAGTTATATTTGGACATGCATTTTACTTGGAAAAAATTAAAGTTTTATAAGTGAAAGAAAAATTTTCATCCAAAAACTAGCCCAAACCATTTTTGGAATTTGAAAAAAATAATCAAAAAATTTTTTCTTCAAAAACTAATTAAGTTCCATGAACAAATAATATTTCTTTTTTTTTCTAAAAAAGAAAAGGTAAAATAAAATATCTAACTTACACTCAAATCCTTGTTACACACCTGTTGACCACGGGTATAACTTTACACATCAAACCTTTCAAATATGTGTCAGTTACACACTACTTTTGACCAAACATGTTAATATTCAATGTTGTGTATACACGTGCTTATTTAAAATAAAAAACAAATGATTCTTTAATTAAAATGGACAAACTGACCCTTTTCTTAATTCCGACCCAAAAAAGATCTGACCCTGTTAATTAAAAACAACTACGCGACCAAATTAACAAACATAATTCCATTTTCAAATCCCTGTTCTTTAGCCCTAATCTTTGAAGCGAATCCGACGAGAACACATATGCTCTTTATTGTTGTTACTTTCTTCATTTTCAAGTTAGTATTCTCATTTTAGGTTGTTCAACCATTTTGATTTAGATGGGTGGGTCGAAATAGTTAGGGTTTATTTGGGTATTTCATCATGAGTATTTTTAGGGTTTAATACATCTTTATGGGGAATCTCTTGTCATTGTCTACTGAAACCTTTGTCTTTTGAGCTTGTGTTGTCTTTTTCTTTCTTTATTCTGTTATATCTTTCTTTATTGTCCATTTTGATTTCTTTATTGTTTGTTTGCATGTGAAATTGAAACCTGTTGTCTGCTTCTTTCAAGGACAATGTCTTTTAAAATTGTTACTTTAAAGTGGTATCACGGGGGGTGAGTTAATTATTGGTCCTTTTAGTAGATATGTGGGGGCAGTCAAACCTTGACTTTAGACGTGGATGTAGATAGGATTTCCTTCTTTGAGCTTATGGATTACATTAGGGAGATGGGTGGCTGAGCTGTATATATGCCCGATGGATAGGATTGACAAGCTGATAAATGTATTGACTGATAAGGATATTTTAGACATTTGCAATCAGTTAGAGGATGGGGATACACTAAAAATATATATGACTCATGCTGCTCCTTTATCAGTGCATGACCCTGTTGAAAATAGGGAAAGTGTGAGTTGTAGTAAGGCTTCTGGAAAAAGGCCTATAGAGGTCCAAGAGGTTGAAGAGGTAGATGATGAAGATGCTGATGACATACACTACACTTCAGATAGTTCTGCTGCTTCTAATGCAAATCCTTCTGATGATGGAAGTGCTTCTAAGATGAAGTACTTCTGATGATGGAGATGCTTCTGATGATGTTGCTTACAACTCTTCTACTTCTGATGATGTTGCTTCTGATGATGCTGGGAATGAAGGAGAAGTAGACATAGACTGGACTTCTGATAGTTCTGATGATGTTCACTTAAATGTTCCTGATGAGAATGACCTCCAATTTGATATCCATGAGAAGTTGGGTGAAGGTAGAGAGAAGGTAAAGAGAAGCAGGAGAAAAAGAAGTGAAAAGCCTAAAGGGAGAGGCGATATAAACATAGATAAAGCAGGTGTAGACATTGGGTTTGATGAGCTGCGTACAGGTGTAAGCACGTGATTTTTTTGCTTCACGAAAACTACTCCAAAAGAAATCAAAAATAAAACAAATTTCATCTGTGTACAATTTTGAGAATTTGCGTGACATTTTTGTAATTATTTTGTCCGTAAATGTTTACCCTTGTTGTGATTAATTAAAAAATACAAAAATACATGTTGCATGCACATTCAAGATTTAATTGTGCATTTTGGAATTAATTGAACCATGTTTTATTTTAAGAGAAAGAAAATCACAAAAAAATATGTATTTGTTGCATTTTGTCATTTATGTGTGCCGTTGTGTAATTTTATCTTTTAATTAAATGTTTGACCATGTGCGTTAATTGTTGCTAAGGTTTAATTAACATTTTTGTAGGCTAATTTTGGGTTTACAAATTATTTTTAGAATTTTATTGATTGTTAATTAAAAGTAGAAAAAGAAAAAGAGTTGAAAAAATAAAGAAAACTCGGTTTGGGCCAAAAATTAAAATGAAAGCAGGCCCAAACGAGCTGGCCCAAGGCGTAAACCGGCCCGTCTGGCCCGAACGGCACCGTTTTGTCACAGTTGAGCGGGGTCGTTGATCTCAAATGGATCAACGGCCAAGATCACATCTTTCATACCCGTCTCCTGTACCCGACCCATTACCCGGTCACCCCGACCCAACATTAAACTAAATGACATCGTCTTATTAGTTCCTTGATCCTAGCCGTTGATTTTAATCGATCCAACGTCCGGGATTAAATCCCTCACACCGTATATATTCCTAAAATCCTACCCCAGCCCCCC